GAAGAGCCATGTGGATGGAGAAGTTGCCAAGCTGGCAGATCTATCAAGGAGAACAGGATCAGCCCAGAGGCCCCAACCTCACCTCACCCAGCCACCTCACCTCACCACACTTGGTTGCCACCCCAGCCTCTTTACCACAAAGATGGTCAGCGCCAACTTAACCTGCTGGGCTCCGTAGGCTGCAGAAAAGGCAAAAAGAAGGGCCCCATAAGAAGAAGGTTGGTGATGGGGGTCACGGGATGAGGGCACTGTCTGGGCCCACTTACTAGGGGGTGTGTAGAGAGGGTGGTTGATGTAATAGGCCATCCATGCAGCAAAGCCCCAGTAGTAGGTGCAGTTCTGAAAGAGAGCAGATGAGTGAGCCTAGGGAGGGCGGGTGCTGCTGGGCAGAGCAGAAAGAATAAGGATGCTCACTTTGAAGATGTTTCGCAAGGGCATGGTTCCGTGAGAGAAGCGGTGCACGAAGAGGGTCTCCAGCAGACGCTTGACGTAGTGGGATGAGTGGCAGATGCAAGCGAGGCTGGGGGGGCAGCTGATGGAGTTGGGGTTGCTCCAGCCCTCCACCCGCCCCGCCCCCTCCCACTCTCCTGTGGGCCCCACTCACTGCACCACTGTGTGCCGACTGGACGTGAAGTCGTATTTGTGGCCATAAATGAAGGGTACCCGGAAGTAGAAGAGCAAGTAGATGAAAAGGGGCCCAGCATACTCAGTCAGGAAGACCTGGGAGTGCCCAGAGACAAGGTGAGTAACCCCAGGGTGGCTGAAGGCAGAGACCAGGGAAGGGGTCAGGGCTTACCGTCACCCAGCTGATCTGTGCCCCCAGGTCCCGGAAGAAGAGTGTGGCTGTGGTGCCCACAGGAAGCTTCTGCAACACATCTTCATCTTTCAGGGACTTTCCCTCTACAGAAATCAGTCAGTATTCAGATGCTGCCCTGGGTTTCTGACCCCAAGAGCCCAAGGGAAAGGCTGTACTCACTGGGGTCCAAGCGGAGGGACTGCTGGGCAGGGTACCACTGCGGGTCTGCTAGGAGAAGGTGAGGTTGCAGCACCCAGTCTGGCTGGGTTCAGCCTGCCCATCGTAACCCAGCCTGCCTCTCAAGGTTCCCAGAATTCTGGGACCCCCGGCTCTTCCCACCCTATGCAAGAACACACCCAAACAGCTACAGATTTTGTCCTTTGAATAACGCAAGAGCATTCCTGCAGGTGGCCACACGGGGGCAGCCTGCCCAGTCAGAGGGGCCCCATTCCCTGCTCCAGTGTGCTGACAGGCCCTCTCTACAAGTCCCTAAGGAAGCCCAGGTCTCTCATCCAGAGGGGTGACAGGAGTGGGGATAGAAGTGTAGGGCCTGCACTCACGCGTCTTGGTGAAGAGATTCTTGATTTCAGCAATGGTGGCCTGAGGCTCCACCTGAGAGAAAACAGACTATCAGTCCCAAAGGAGCCCCAGATCTGGGACAGGGGTGCCAGGCACAGGCGGTCAGGATCACGCCAGCTGGCTTCAGCAGGGTGTATCTGTCTTCCACCTCCTTCACAGACACAGGGTCCTTCCAGGCTGCCTTATCCCTTCCCCTACCAGGCAGCCAGCTCCCAGCCCTATGCAGGGGTCACGATTACACGTTCTAGCTCAGTGGTTCTCAACCTTCCTAATGCTGTGATCCTTTAATAAAGTTCCTTGTGTTGTGGTGACCCCGAGCAAAAAATTATTTCCTTGCTATTTCACATCTGTAATTTTGCTACTGTTATGAATCACAATAGAAGCATCTGATATGCAGCCCCACAGGGGTGGAGACCACAGTTTGAGAACTGCTGCTCTAGATGAAGGCAATACCCCTTGTGTGCCCTCTGAAGGACAAGGGGGCCACCAATGTCTGCACAGCCCTACAACTTCACCACCAGGGTCACAGTCCTACCTTGTCCAGGAAGCACAGCTTCTCCCTCGTCTTCGCATCCAGAATTTCCACCTCAAAGAAGAGAACCGCCTTTTTATGCTTCTTGGCTATCTTGTGGGGCACGGGCATGGGAAGACCATCGAGGCCTTGGTGGGCCTCCTTGGCCACCATGCTCAAGCTGATATCCATGCCACTGTCGGCCCTACTGCTCTGCCTACCAGGCTGTGGCGCCCACTGCCAGCCACCAGCCCCCACCTCCGACCTCCCCTCACAAAGCTGCTCTGAGCTGGGCTGGGCAGCATGATGAAACTCTGCCTCGGTGCTGGAAAGGAGCCTGTGTCTGACCAGACCCAGCCAGCTTCAATGCCAGATGTAACCCGAGTGGCACCAGGGCCCGGCCCGGCCCGGCTAAATATAAAACCATCCCAAGTTCCCCCGAAGGAGCCACACCACAGTCCTCCCCTGGGGGCTACCCTCATAGAAGCAGCTGAGTGGACACTGGGCCTCAAAAGCGCCAGGGACAAGAAAATCTCCCAGAGATGGGAAAAAGCACACAGCCAGTGGCAGGGGTGGCTAGCCCAGGCCCAGTGCCCAGCTCTGGCTGACAGGTTACTGGACCTGGGGAAATGCCAGCTGTCTAGAGAATCTGAGAGACAGATCATGCATTGCCACTTCTAAGCTGTAAGGGACACTGGATTATTTCCCTTGTGCATTTGTGTTCCCAGAGAGGTGACAAATTCCAGAGTTATCGGTGCACAGTTCCTTTTCTAAGTATGGAGAGGAAAGAGTGAGCAAGGTTCTCCACCCCTCTCCTCATTCTCAACAGTTCCACCCACACCTGCTTCAAAACCACCTGCATGGCAGTCTACCACATCAGGCCAACATCAATGTGCTCACCTCACCCATGGATGAGTCTCGCTGCAAAGCCTTCAACACACAACCCAGGCCTGCCGATACCCCTAGGGTCCACAGTCTCCAAAGGAGAAATACCCAGGCTAGAGCCACTCAGTGGTGCAAAGGAACAGAGTAAGAAAACAGCCCCAGGAGATCTGAGCCACCTGTCCCAGAAGGTCAGAGAAGGCTGCTGACATGATGGTCTGCACTGTCCATAGTAGCTGGGAGAGGCCTGGGGGTCCTATGGGGATCTGTGACTTCTCATTCTCAAGGATGGGGACATCACAGGCCAGAGAAGCTGGTCACTGCCATCTGCATGCTCCAAAGAGCAGAGGCTAAGATAGTCCTAGGGTCTGACCCCAGGCCTGGCCTGCTAGGGGTCCCTGAGAGGATGTGCATGAACCAACATGGTGCTGGCACAAGGGAAGTATGTGTGTGTGTGTGTGTGTGTGTGTGTGTGTGTGTGTGCGTGTGTGTGCGCGCGTGCGCGCATGTGTGCATGTGTGTATGTGTGTCTGTGGCCCCACAAAAGTGACTACCTGGTGATTAGGTAGGGAGGCCCCATGGAGGTGACCCTACACAGTGAAGCAGCCCTGCAGGGCCTAGGCCTGGATTCAGAGCAAGGCTTCTATGCCAGCCAGTGGCACCCAGGCCTGCTTGCCCATCTATGCCAGAGCCTACATCATGGACACAGCGCAGGAGAGAGTACAGAAATCACTTGCTATCCACTGCAAACTCAGCTTCACCCTGTGGCCTGAGGGGCAAATGACTGAACCACATAAGGACAGTATCAGACCAGAAACGAGAGAGAATGAATACATGAGGAATGGGCTAGAAGGGGCTTGGTGGCAGGGCTCTGGGCTGCAGATATATTAATACTGCTCCCCATAAGCACTGTGCTCATGCTCAGTGTCCATGTGAATCACAGGAAGGCGGCACAATGTCCACTGGGAGAGAAGGCCACGGAGTTCCTGCTGAACCACTCAACAGCTTAAAATACAACCAGCCCCTCTCCCTACTGGGCCAGCTGCTGGGGAGGGCTGAAACCCTACCCTCTCCCCCAGCTGGGGCTCTGCAACAAGGCCAGGAACCCTGATGCACCAACTGGCTACAAGAGAACAGCATGGAGGGGCCACACTGAACAGCAGTCCCCAAGCCACAAGGAGAGGGAGGAGCTGCCGGATCCAGGTGAGCGAGCGAGCGAGAGGCCTCCCACGCCCTGCCCAAGCCCCAGATCCCCATAGCCATCTTCTCCCAGTGGGCCAGAGGCCATTCTTGCTGTGATTTTTGCAACTCCCTAACCCTCTAGAATTATGTCAAAATCAAAAGCAAGATAAAAGTTATGTTAAGCATAGCAAGGAGGTTGGCTGGGTGAAAGATGCCAGACTTTCAGGACAGGAGTGGCCAGGACCAGACCAGGGCAGACAGCAGCCTGCTGGTGCCCCCACAGGGTACAGGCTGAGGCGGCAGCAGGGGGAGATTCTAAAGGATAGCTGCTCTTTGTGGGTGATGCAAAAGTGTCAGTCACAGATGTGGGGCTGCCCAATGAAATGTGCTGAATGTCACTGGCTGTATACTTTCAGGGGTAGGGGTGGTACTCAGGGGTGACACAGCAGGGTCTGACTCTTTAGGCCAGGATAGCCTTAAACTCAAAACCCTGTCTCAGCTTCCCAAGTGCTGAGGGATTAGTTGTCTACCACACCAACTTCAACTGTGCACTTTTACTTACAGTCACAGGAACCACACTCCAAAAGCTCTGGGACTGTGTATTGGGGCTCTCACATTGTGAGGCGGGTACTCTACCACTGAGTTACACCCCAGTCCCCACAGGCAACAGACAGGCAAAGTGTCCAACAAAAAAAGAAAAGACAACACAGCTCCAGGGAACAGGCAGGGTCTCCACTGTCCAGACCAAGGAGACTGGGGAAAATCTACGTGTACCTCTTAAACCGTGGTCCTCACTGCACTCAACCACTACCATCTCCACCCCTGCCTGTACCTGTCCCAAACACACACACACACACACACACACACACACACACACACACAGTCAGCCTAAAATACAACCCTGAAGGGTGCCCAGGTCTAGGGTCAGAGAGCACCAGGGATCCTGAACACCAAGGGCAGGGAGCCAGCAGCCTCTGGCCCCTCCTGGGGAGAAAGCAGCACAGCTGAGCTAAGGAAGGGAACCCTCATACGCAGACAGCTATAGATGTGATCGCTACAGATGAGGGTGGCCCAGAAGGATGATCTGAGTTCCTAGGCTTGGGGAGGGGGACACCCCCTGCTGAGAGCACAATGGACGGTGTCAAAGACAAGGGCAGGAACCCTAGCACAGGGCACCCAAACTGGTTCTACGATGACAGTTCCACTAGTCTGTGAAGAATTCTCACCCAGAGACTGAGATAACAAGGCCTGGCCCAGCCAACAGAACTCCTGCTAGCCCAAGGTCAAGGACAGCAAAGCAGACTGAGAGGCAGGAAGCAGCCAACCCTAAAGAAGGATGGGGGGCTGGCCTTGGCACCCACTGCGGCAAGATCAAGGTTGGTGCAGCCTGTTCCTTGTTCTGAGACTGGGAGGTAGCACTCTTGAGGTTGTCCCAGCCAGGCAGGGAGCCCAAAGACAGAGAAGCATGTCCTGCATCACCATTACAGGGCTCCTGCCTCCCTCCTCGGGCTACTGGCCACATCTCATCCACCACCAACTTTAAAACAGCAGTCCCACCAGGCACAGTGGCAATACTTGCGACCCTAGCACTCAGCAGATGGACTCAGGATCAGGCATTCAGAGATAACCCTAGCAACATGCAAAGTTTGAGGTCAGTCTAAACTATGTGAGACCTTATCTTCAAAAAAGAATTTATGGCTACAAGTAGTACTCTAGTTACAGCCTGATCCACTGCCCCCTGGCAGTATACTCAATATAACTATTGCTTAAGAAAAAATTAAGAAAGACCCAGGAACCCTTCCACCTGTCCTGGGCCTGGCTGTTTTCTATACCCAGAGTGGTCCCAGGTAGAGCACAACTAGAATAACCCTAGGTAAAAGGTCACCAGTATCGGGCCTGAGGTCCTCTCACAGCTCCCCCTTGTCTGGCTGCTCCTTCACCTCTCCAGAAGCCTCGTTCTGCCCCAGACCACATCAAAGGCAGCCATGTGGTATGAGGCCCCTGGTCCCTGGGTGTTTCTAAGCCTACACAGCACTCTGGGCTACCAGGCCTTACACCCCTGGTTCTGAGGCACCCTACACTGAGCATGGTCAGCTCACCAGGCTCCACCCCTCATAGAAACTGGAGTATCCCTCAATGGCTCCAAGAGCCGATAGGCTCTGCATGGCCTCTAGGTGGCAACACACATTTCGTGGAATGTAAGCTTAAAAAAGAACACTTCCCATCTATATGGCCCTTGACAAATTATTTATTTCCTTAGCATCAAGCAGGGCTCTTTCCAACTGCCACTTCCCACAGTTAGTGTGGGAATTAGATTAACAAAAAAAAAAAGAAAAGAAAAGAAAAGAAAAGAAAAGCATGGGAACATTTAAATATCTCCCATCTAGAATAAATGCTACCAAAAGTAAACACGGGGCAAGGCATGGTGGCACTAGGAGGTAAAGACAGGAGCATCAGAAAATGGGAGGCCAACCTTGGCCGTTACATACCAAGATTTTGACTCAGAAAAAAGGAAACGCACAAGAATATCATCTAATTGGGCTGACTGTAGCAGAAGAGCAGTGGCAGATGTGTATGGGAGCTAGCCAGGCACTAGCTGAGAACTGGGGCACCTTGTCCTGCAACCTTGACTGCATCCATGAAGGGACCCAAGGTCAGAGGGCTGACAGAACTATGCCCCAGCCAGCTGGTGGCAGTGAGCCTCAACACAAGCAACAAGGGGCCATGTGGGGGTAGGAGAGGAAAGGTGGTGGTGACAGCCAGTAGAGGCTGCAATACTTTCCACTGCCCCCTGTGCCAACAGGTGGAAGGAAAGCCAGCACAGTCCTAACCATTATGATGAAGTAAACATCTGGGTGCAGGAGGGAACCAAGAAGGCCTAAGCTTCCTCTTCCACTTACATCAGACAGACCCTGGGGAGCCACCACCTGCCTCCCCACTCTCTCTCCCCGGGCCTTGGGACATGGGAACAAACAATACCAAGCCTTCCTCTCACTTCTAGCCTCTGTCAA